CTGACGAAAGGCTGGGTGGTTGGCGTTCAAATGAACAAACACATGGCGGTGGCCAATGTGTTTATCCGAACGCGCTAAGCGGTGTTTTGCCATCGAACGCCTGGAACTAAAATCGGACACTCAAAGGCACGAACACCGCTGAGACCTCCACCTTCCGTGCGTTCGGCTAAATACACATGAACAGAGTGCTATTTCTTGAGGACAATCCACCAAATGAAACGCATCCATTATGTGAATGAGAAGATAGACCGGCTGCACAGCCTAAATCTGTGGAACTATTTTGGGCATGAAAGCCATGCTTGCGGTCGGTCAAATGTGCCTTCCATAAAACTTTTGAACCCCTGCTTTGATCTGGGTGATTCTTGAATATGTTGTTCGCCCAGATCAGAGCTATCCAGGGATGTATAATTTATGGGGATATATTTGAGTTTTGGGGTGTTTCTGAACTTTGGGTAAAACTGTGTATTTTCTGCCTGTGGATAATTAAGTTATTCCATTAGCTAGCTTAATTATATCACATGCAGAGGATTGCTGACTGTATGTGGGAGTGTTTCTATGTTAATTATTGTTCCCATATGGGAAGAAGGATGCCCAGGCAGTGGCGTACATACCGCAGTCGCAGGGGTCGCAGCTGTGACTGGGCCCGTCACTCCAGGGACCCCTGCGACCGGGTACCAACTGCCACGTTTTGTGGCCTGGCCTGCACAGCAAACCACCGGGGCCATCGTTCAAGGGGTCCATCAGTTGCCCATGCTGTCAGGGCCACCCGATGGATATGGATTATCAGGGGGCCCGGTCAGCGCTGGGCACTTTAACAGTGCGACCGGGCTCCCTGTGATGACATCACTGCTGGGAGGAAGTGACTCCCCGGTCACTCCTCCCAGCTATCAGAGCCCGCGCGGAAGGAAAGAGGAGGTAGTCAGAGTGGGAACTCACAATATATACATTTTGTATATGTATCTGTCTGTATGTGTGTGTGTGTCTGTGTCTCTGTATGTGTGTGTCTGTGGCTCTGTATGTGTGTGTGTGTGTCTGTGTCTGTGTGTGTGTGTGTCTGTATGTATGTGTGTGTGTCTGTGCCTCTGTATGTGTGTGTCTCTGTATGTGTGTATGTCTCTGTATGTGTTTGTGTGTCTGTGTATCTGTATGTATGTGTGTTTGTCTGTGTCTGTGTGTATGTATGTGTGTGTGTCTGTCGGGGTGTGTATGTATGTGTGTGTGTTTGTATGTATGTGTCTGTATGTATGTGTCTGTATGTGTGTGTATGCATGTGTCTGT